TTCTTATACAGGCTAGCGCTACCAGTACAACAAAGAACTTGTCGTAATCGCAAAACAATATAGAGAATTACATGAAAATACGAAAATATATGGCATCTAAGGTGTACCTCTTAGCATCAGGCATGTTAGTGCAATGCGATAAAAGCATTGTAAAAGAACTCCATAAGTACGTACCAACTTCAACAATTCCAGTATCTGTATGTATCGAAGACGACTGGACCAACAGTCTTAGGGTGGTATTTCCCAAGAAGAGGCTGATGTAAAAGCACAAGTTAGGTGACTGGAAGTCAGGCTAAAACTCGATGCCAGAATCATCACATCGGAAATATGTTGCAGAGCCACATCAACATTTTTCGTCGTAAAAAGTCATCACAACTTAGAATGTTGTTCCAGCCGAAGTGACCACAGCCCACTCAGTTGATAGCTTTAAGAAGAGACTTGATAAGCGCGTACTCATAGGGGGATTATATTCTCCCGTTTCGATCACTTGTGCCTGATGAATGTCTCGAAACTTCCTTGTTGTTATCATTACTATTTCTTTAGACCAATAAAGTTTTCAATCTCGCTTGTTATATCTTTTCCCTCCCCCTTCCCTGCCCCCTTTTGGTCCCTTCACAAAATCTTTTATACCTATTGATTAACTTATTTAACCATTTATTTACTTAGTTCTGAAATCTTGTTGCCATTATTATTTTCTACCTATTATTCCGCACACTGCAACTAATTGATATCCGGCACGGTAAAGTGATACCTCCTGGTATCCAGATACCCTACTACCCTGTGACGAACACATTCACTAAAATCACGAGACACAAATCCACTGATAACTGTCAACTAACTAGGATTATTACAATCGAGTGGCTAAGATGCCATCCATTGAACAACAGAAGTTATCTTGAGCCGAACAAGAAGAAAAGGAACCGAGTGCAAAAACATCAACCCGTTTATATCAGCTCGTGTAAAGGATATGAGATAGTGGATATCACAAGACATACAAACCTACCTACAGAACGGACTTGAAGTGCTTTAGTCTATTGATGGAATTACAGCCAATGGACATTATAAAATAACTGAAACCATACAGAAACAATAGAAATCGTGTGAAATAAAATAAATACTTTTTTACTGGCTCGTGACTAAGATATTGAATATTGTATATTAACCTTGACTAACAGCGCCACGTACATAAGTTGTTATTTGGTCTCTTTTGT